AATTTAATTTATTTTTCAGAAACATTTCTGAACCTATTTTGGACATTTAGTACCTTTTTTTTCTTTACATGGAACTGTAGAACAAATGTGTTTAAAAACACTTCAGGTGTTTTCTCATTTTATGAGTTACCCTCCTAAACTAATTCCTAGACGCCTCTAATAATAATAAAAAAAATGTCGCCCACAATATGATTATACTTTAAAGTTATCTGATTTCAGGAATTTATTAATAATTTTAAATTTATTAATAATTAAATCTTTTTCAAAAAAAATTCCAAGCCTCTTTCGAACTTCTAGTGCCTTTTTTTCAATATGAAATGGTGGAACAAATGTGTTTAAAAACACCTCATGTGTTTTCTCTTTTTATGAGTTATCTACCTAAAATAATTCTTAGACCTCTTTTTTTAAAAGAAATATGTCGCCAAGGCGCATATAATTGTTTTGAGTTCTCTGGTTGGCGAAACTAATAGTGTAATTTCTAAATGTACCGGAGCTCCGGGAATCCTTTAAAAGAAAGACCGCACAGGTGCCAACAATACATGAATTTAATAACCGTTTTAGACCTTAATACTTACACCCTTCACTCCTTTTCTTTTTTCTTCAGTAATTGCCAATTAGGGATCTCTAGAATTACGGTTAAGAACGTCTTAAATTTACGGTAAGCGAAAATGGCAAGAAGATTAAAAAGAAAGAGAGATAAAAAGCACCTGGAAAAAATTTACTTTGTTGTTGAAACCATGAACAATGAAATGTGGAATATAAATAAAAGAAAGAAATAATTCCGAAAATTCTACAAAACAAAAGTTCAGCGGTGTTGGATCGCAATTATTATACTTCCCACTGTGTTGTTTGTTTATGTATATATTTTTGGCGAGAATTTTTATATTTTGAGATAAACATTTTCCAATCTCCGTGGTAATACAGAAAACTACTAAAGGCGAAATGAATTGAAAACGTATTTATAGCTTACACTATTCTACGTCAAATGTTTGTTTTGGCGCTTTAGCGATTTTTTTTTTTTTTTTTTCGTTGCTCCTTGTTTGCTTTTATTTTCAACAGAGCAAAATAGAAAATAGGGAGAAAAAAATGTTCGACAACATTAACATCATCTCTAGTGTTTTTTTATCAGTGTTTCCAGTTAGAAGAATTTATGAATAAAAATGAAAAACGCCACGCAAATGTTGAAAAAATGTTGAATTTACTTGTTTCCAAAAATGACATAGAAAAGGTGGCGCCTTATGGATCGCCATGTGACAAGTCAAAATAAAGACCTTGTGACACAGATTTTGAGAAGTTGTCAGAATATGCTTGTATTTCAAATTTACAGCTAAGAATATACATACTTTTTGACACCTTATGACAGAAAATAAGTGTTAAAATCCTAAAAAATTAAATTTATATTTTTTGTTCTTTAATGACTATTATTAATTTTTCAAAGGTAAATATAAATAATTTTCTAACTGCAGAATCAAAACATTTTTAAAAATATTAAGAATTTATGTATGTTAATGAAATTAATTTAGAATATCTTGTAAAATGAAAGAATTTTTATTACAACTTGGATGAAGATTAATAATTTTTCTATGTAATTTTTCTTATTACGTACATTTCTTAAACGCAGATATTTACGAAATAATGTTTAAAACTATTAAGAAATAAGGTATGTTAATGATATAATTATAATCTTGTTATAGGTTGTCTAAAATTCACTAAAAAAGTAATTCAGAAAAACTAGTTTCTATTTTAATTATTTAGAAAACATTCACTGGTTTATTAATTTAAAAAACACTAGTTTCTATTTAGAAATGGTGTGCATTTTGATTCATAAAGTGCATGGTATGGGGTTGTTAGGACGGATTTTTGTGAACTTGCGAAAAATGGCAGAAAGCTTATATTGGTTCAGACTAAATGCGAAAGTTCTTATTTTATAAGTTTTTGAATCTAAAATGTCGATTTTTAGTCAGTTTTTTTACGACCATTTTGTTCAAATGTGGCTGAATTTCGTTCACATCATATTTTAAATCGAGTCATCTTTAGCTCGTTAGCATAAATCTTAGACTTAAAAATGAACAAGAAAGAAAGTGAAATATAGTCAAATCGCGCGATCTGGGCTGTAGCTTCGATCACTAGAATAAAAAATTGCACATCTAAGAGCTAAGAAAATGTGTTTATGTAGTGCTTCATTCTTAATTACCTTAAACTATCGTCTGTCACTAGAACTTCACTACTTTTTTATTCCGTTTCCAACATTTAATTGCACAAATAGCATAAAAATAAAATCTTCTCTTCTATTTCTTGGAAGAAATCTTTACATCCACGAAAATAGATGATATCTTACATCTACAATTAGGATAATACTATTCGTGTAATTTACAGGAGTCAAATGAGTAATATTATCTAATTCTTAAAAAAATATTAACCAATGGATTAAAATTACAATTAGTTTCAAAGGCCTTTATGCGAAATTAATCAATAATTATTCGTTGTTTCATGTCAGTTATAAGTAGTCAGATAATTTATGATATGCATAACTCGTAACTTCAAAATCTCGATCCCAGAAACCTTTTATGGAATTTCGTTTTTGATAAGTGTTCTAAAAATAAGTGAAGTCTCAGAATTCCCATAAAGTGGGAATTTTGCACCTTTTTTGTTACAAAATGGTGGCAACAAAAAGAATACAATGAGTGACAGAAGATAGTTAAGGAATGCTAAAAATTGAACTCTACACGAAGTAACAACACATTCTTATTCTTGTAGAAGATTTTGCGAAAGGTTGTGTAATTCCCTGGTCATACAATTTCTTGTTCGGTTATCAGAATTTTCCTTACAAATCATACGATTTACTGTTGTTGGACTTATTTCTTTGAGAAATTTTTGAAGTATAGGTTTTATTCCAACAAGCTTACAGTCACGCAAGCTTTGAAGGATGAAATTGAATTCCGTATTTAGCAAATTCATCTACATTTACGCAAAATGGTCTTTAAGAATTTCGAGAAAAGTGTGTATATGCGACAGCAAAAATCGCCTTTCCTTTATCTCCAAACATTGCCCTTCAACTATAGATTCTAATTAATCTATAAAAAAATTCGCACATCGTTTTTATCTAGAAGCTTGTATTTTCTTTTAAAATTACCTCTTGCGAGAATTTTTGTATAACCTACATAGGTAAAAAGTAATGATTACGGGCAAACTTGGCATACTGAAAAAAAAAAATTTTTCTCCACAAAATTCCAATTTGATACCAGACGATAAGAACAAAATTTTAAAGCTATTGAAACTCACAAGAAGACTTTCTTTTAAAGATTTCTGACAGCAAATCTGTGGCTATTTGTGTCTAGGGATATTCTTTAGAGAAGAGAGCAATTTCATCACATCAGCGCGTTACAAATCTTGTTCTTTTTCGAAGCTTGTACTCCTTTTTGCACGAGAATAATTCTCTGGCAGACGATAAATATTGAGGAGAGAGTGTGTGAAAAGAGGGAAAGGGAGACTTTTTAAGTGGAGTTGACGGAAATGTTTCTAAGGTGGTCTGACAGCCCTATTTGTTATCCTCCCTGGATGATTATCTGACTTCAAACGAGACTTCACTAAAAGGAAATATCACTGAAAATATCAGTAACTACAGTAACTGATACAAAAGTTACGAACGAACGAATTTACGAACATTTAAATTTTTATGTGTTTCTAAAAAAATAAAATAAAGGATTTTTTTTTTCAATCTAAAGTATAAGAAGCAAGTCGACGAATGTTGGTAGAATCAACAAATAGCAATACATATCTAAAGTCTACCAACAACTTTCTGAAATGCGATTTATTATTTACGATTTAAGAAAGATGATTATGATATCGCGGTCTCACAAGCGCCTTTTTGGAAAAAATAATGTTGGAAAATCTTGATTAAATTTCATTAATAGTTTTATTGTTAAATAATCACAAGAAACTGTAGCGATAAGATATTACCTGTTTAAAAACTTCATTCGCTTCAAAAGTAAATAAATTGCAAATAACAGTCTACATGTTCCAAGTGTTTCAAAAATAGGAGCCCATTTTCAAGACTCGTCAGAAGTAAATGAGAAGAAAATTAAAGTGAAGTAAAAAGCCTATAGTTACTATAAAAAAAAATGAGAAAATGAAGGGGAGAAACAAAACTAGAAAAACTTCAGTAGCCGAGAGATGCCACTGTGGTTTTTCTTGTCCTGTTTTTCATCTTTTCGCTTCGAGCACGTCAACTGTTATTTGTTATTTATCTACTTTCGAAGCGAATTAAGTTTTTCATTAGATAATTTGCTTATGTTATTCGAAAAAAAAATTTAAAATTTAAGAGATATTTCTATCTTTGTTTTTTTTTTTTCTGTTTTACACCAAGTTTATGGTGTTAATCGGTCTTGTAGAATTAAACATTAGCATGGAATAATATTCTCTTTAAATTTGCAGTTAGCGATGAATCTTTCAAAATTTATCTCCTTTGGATAGATAAATTCGGGGTCATGATCCCAAAATACCGTAATGAACTTTAATCTTTTATGTCTATGCTTGTTTTATTGTTTTTTTTCCTTTATCGCGTAACTCTGCCATAAAGCATATTATGTAAAGTTATCATTTTTAATAGTTTATGTATGTATCATAAATAAGTTGTGAAATAAAATCATCTTTGAATCACTTAAGAAATTTCATTCAAATAAAAATATTTAGTTTGTACATTTAAAATTCGTCCGTACTTTTTATTCTTAAATATATTACAATGAAAAAATAAAATTTAAGCCAGCACAAGTCTATTTTTAAGAGAACGCAGATGAAGTTACAGCTATCTTCAACTGATGAATTAAAACATTGTAAATTAAACATTTTATTGTGCAACAACGATGTATTTTGAATGAATATAATACGTATGAGGATTTATTTATTATGGTTCCTTATCATCTCAAGATAATAAGACACCAGGAAAACTTGACCAAATTCTTACATCATTGATACTTATTATTTACATATCAATTACTATACCTGATGGCCGATTTTTTATTGTGCTCTGTACACAAAACTGATACAACAGATTTCAAATTGACGAAACATATATTCTATAAATCTTCTGACCGTATGGAGAACACGCGTAATTCATTATTAAATACGAAGGTCATAACCAATATTGGATTTCGACAATGGAGGAGTCAGTCTTTAGGATTGTTTCAATTTCCTCATCACTTTTGTGTCTTCATTTCAATTATTCATTTTGTGAAAAATGAGTCTTCGTGTTCCTTATTTTCTTAATGAAAAGTTATTCAACTTCCTGCTTTTCTTGGCGAATGGACAGCTGTCATTCAGTTCCCCAACGTCAGTCGCCGGAGGAATTATTCTTTTGAGATTCTTTATTTTTTCCTCTTTCAGAAACAATAAACGTCTTTGTTTGTTTCCCGATTTTCGGCAATACATATTTACGAGCCTCTGACATTTTGTTTAACTGTCCTCATTCCATCTTTCATTCAATCTCAATGGTAATTATGTTTGTGTTTCTTTGTGGTGGCAACGATACAGCTGCAGACGATGTTTTATGATCTGAAAAGAAACGAATTTAATTAAAGGAAATTAAAACTAGCAGAAATAAATGCAATTGTTTTGTTAAAAATATAAATGCATTTCAAAATTGTGTTGATGACAAAAATTACAGTTTTATTTGAGAGAAATTAAAAATAAGCCACTTTGCATAAATTCGATTTAAAAACTAATCTTAACTGTTTCATTTCTCTTCATGCTAATGATATAAGAGCAGACAATATTCCACCATCTGAAAAAAAAAACGAATTTAATTTAAAAAATTAAAATGAAGGAAAATATTATTAAGTTGTTAAATATCGAAACAAGTTTTAAAGGAGAGTTGATTAAAAAAATTAAAGGAAAATGAAGAATAAACCACTTCGTATAAATGGGATTTGTAAACTTGCATGGGGCCTCATACCCCATTCTTTATAAATTATTTGTCAACTGAAAATTGTTTCGTATTTATTTTATTTTGAAATAAATACGAAGTAAAGTGAAGTGAAATTGTTTTGAAATAAATTGAAGTGAAAAAATTTGGGGAATAATAGCTACTACATTAACTATGAAAAAAATATTATTTTACAACCTTGAAATAATTTTTTTTTTCTTTAAATGAATCATATGTTAAAAGTTGCTTGCTTTATTTAGTCTCTTCTGAAATATTAAAAATAAAGAGAACATTTTCTTAACCATATACTTGTTTCTTCTATTAAAAGTCATTTTTAGATTATGTTAACATGTTTTGATAATTTTAGACCCTTGTCACCACTCTTTGTTAACAAAGTTTTTTTTTTTTTTTCAAATTTTTTCCCCAAATTTCCAAATTTAATTTTTCATAATTTACCCCTGATTTTGGATTTTTTTCTGAAACGGAATTTAGTAATCATTGTCAATATCTCTACTGTTTCTTATCAAAAATAATTAGTTCTTAAACATACTCTTTCTTAAACACATATATAAATATATACATAATATATAAGCAACCTAACTAAACAAGCGATTAATTATTGATTATAATGTTTTAATTTAAATTTATTAATTAAGCATACATATTAGTAATTAATCATATTTAAATAATCCTTTGATACTGCACTAAGAGAAAGGCTATGCAAGATTAAACTTTAGTTTACTATGTAAAACAGAAAACCATTTATTATTAAATAAGCATGCAATATATTTTCACAGGGGTAATATAGTTTCCTGCAAATTATCTATTCGTATTATAATACTCAAAATAAAACTTATGAAAAATATTTTTATGAGTTATTCATTTTGTGCTAACAAATAAGGAAATATTAGCATACGGGAAAAAATTGCAAAATGAATTTCAAGTCGTGAAGCTCAGTTTTGAAAATAATCCTTCTATGGGCAACTTTTCTGCATAAGAATCAAATTAGCAGCAAAAACACATTTACAGAAACAACTAGAACCATGATTCCTTTTAATACTAGTGTACCATTAAGGCCTTCTTCAAGTTTTTTTTTTTGCCGTTTTTTTCTGCCGTTTTTTTCTGCTGGCCACCTTTTTCTTGTAGTTGATAATCTTAAATTATTTCGCTTCCCATTTTATTTGTACTTTCATATAGTTCTAAGTTTTTCTCTTGATCTTGACCGCCTAGTTTTTCCTCTGTCTTAAAATTTTTTAACACTTTTTCCCGAGTCCATTATAAGTCCAAACCATTGAACTCCATTTATTTGTTTTATGGTTGTTACTATAACTGGTTTCTTATATTTTCTATAAATCTGTAGGTCCCCCAATGTCCACTCTCAAAAATTTCGCAGAAAATCTTCCATAAGAAAAATTTTCGGGAGTTTTCATATAAATAGCGAAACAATAACATTTTTGAACTGTTAAAACTTATATACATGCTTGTTTGCATTTTTAATCTACAACTTTGAAAATGGAGATATTTCCGTATCGTCAACTACAATCGCCAAGGTGCCAAATAGATCTTAAACTTGCAATTGAAAAAAAAAAAAAAACTTGTAGAAGTTTGCCCGGGGATGGCTACGAGTTATACCTTTTGAGTTGGTCCCTTTCTGTGATTTTTTTTTAATTTTTTTTTTTTTTAGTTTCTTCCGGGCCGTTGCCCGGCATTAACTCTGCCACAGATCACGATACGGACACCTCCCCTTACAAATCATACAAAAGTAAATGGTTATATTGTATATAATCATCTGACATATATGAAAATATAAACAGTGAAATTATTCCTGTATAAGCGATCCTTAACTACTTTTCTTCGTTAATATTTCACATTTTAAAATAGAGTTATTGATATTTTTTACAATCACCTAAGTGCACATACATGTGTAAATAATAAATAAGAAACAAGCTCTGTAAAATTTCTTGTTTAGCAACTGTGGAAGGCCAAAATAAGAGCAGACGCAATGTGTTCTTCCATTCTTATAAGAAAACGTGCATATTGTACGTAATTTTTTAAAAATTCAAAGGTCTTATTTTTTTTTTTTCTGCACAAAACTACAGATTTATCGTCAACGCCTGGCGGTTAATTATTCCTGTTGCCATTCTCAAATTACATTTCTCGGCACGATTTCCTTTTATAGCGCCAAACGATAAAAATGAAGAAGAAACGAGAAGGGGAAAGAAAGGCGCGAATTTAAAACAAAAGCTGCTCGCGAGCGTTCTGATTTAAAAGCGCGGCGTGCGCCCTTTTCTTTGTTGACTCGTTTTCCTTCTGATGCCCCGGCACTGTCGTAAAAAAGGGCAGGAGATGCGGCATTAAAGAATGAAGCAGTCGCTCCCCTCGAATAATTAGACGATCAACGACGCCGTAAGTCGTTCGAGCGAGCTAAGGTAAATAGTGAAAGCCGAAAAGAACGCAAAAATATTACTTAAGGGATGGTTTCCACATGAAATTATTACTTTAAAAAAAATTCATCATTTCGAACTTACGTCAAACGAAGGTAAATTTCCTGAAATACAAAAATTAACTTAAAAAATAAGATTTGTAAACGTAAATAAATGTATTAAAAATAAATGAATAATAGGTAAAAAAAATAAATAAATGATTGATAAAAATGAATAAATAATGGTTAAAAAATAAATAAATGAATTATAAAAAAAAACAATAAATAATAAAGAAAAAATTAAATAAAAGGAATAATGAATAATAAGAAAATGTATCGTAAATAAAAAATGAATAAATAATAAATGATTAAATGAAATAATAAATAATAGGTCAGAAGTATATAGTATATAAAAATTGAACGATGGATATATAATAATAAAAATGAATCGAAAATAAATAAATAAACGATAAATAATTAATAAATAAAAACTTTTCCTTTCAACAGAACTGTTACAAAATGCCTGGGTCCCTGAAGAATTGGATTCCCTTGACTTTTAGCCTTCTGATAAATCTAGGTACCTACTATGCAGGTTTAAAATATCAATGACAAATAAATAAATAAAATTATATAATTATATTATTAAGAAAGTAATTTATGAAAAATATCCTCCTCTATTTATCTAGTTATCAAAGTTCGGTTCTATTAGTTATACTAATTAGATTCATAATATTTAATACAATTATTTATTAATCGCATTGTGAAAGAACATATATAAAAATAACATGCGCTAAATTGTTTTTTCAAAAAAAAATTCTGAAATTGTGCAGTCCATTGTCGTGATGTTTAGATTTCTTTAGCAATTTATTATTCAGAACTTAAAATGCAATTGAATTCTTGTAGCTCGAGATGTGAAGTGGTTATGCCTAACTACGTGATTTAAATCAGATTTAATTGGATATCTGTAATTGACGTCATGCGTGTGTGTTGAGCTTGATTGGTTCCTGAATCGACAAATGCCCCAATTTACCTACGATGACGTCACTTACAGATATCCAATTAACTTACAAGAATAATAAACTGCAAACTATGCTGATATTTGTCTTTGTCTCAGATCAATGTTTAGAATAACTTGGTAAAATATTAGGTTTGAGTAAATTTGTTTTCCAGAATCCTCTGTAATCTGCTGCACTTTTTAAGGGGGATTTTTGTAAATCGTACAAAAACGCAAATGTTAGTCTACTGTCCAAATAAGTTACACATTTGAAGTTAACTTAAGCTACAGTTACTTTTATCAAGAGCTAAAATAAAATTTATTAACAATTTGAAAGAAATTTTTGTTTTATATTTTTATTTAAAAAAAAAAGAGAAAAAAATATTTATGATTTTTTTTTTTAATATTAATTTTTGTTTTGACTTGTAAACATTATATTTTGCTTGCTTGAGCCTTATTTTAATTCTTCTTCCTCTTACTTATATTCTTCTTATTATTATTTATTCATTTTATTATTCTGATTTTTAATTTTATTATTATTGTTATCATTTATTCGCTAAAATTTTTTACTATTCTTATTATCGTTATTATAAAGAACATACAAGAAAAATTTCAAAAAAAAAAAAAGAAAAAAAAGACGAAGGGCATGCAAAAAGTTTAGAAAAATATTTCGAAATAAATCATCTACTACTGCAAATAAGCGCCACAATTGAATCATAAAGCACCTATTTTATTATGAAGAACATTAACTGTTTGATATTTTTTATTATATGCTTGAAGTAAAATTTACTGTTATTTAAAATCAATCCAATTAATTGCATAAATAAGAAACAAAATAAGTAAAATATTTTTCCAAAATATATAGCTACCTTAAACTCTACTTCAAGAAAATACTTTTTTTTTCTTCATAGTTTTCATATATCACTAGCAAACATCAAGATAAGATAAACGATCCGATTTCTTGATTTTGAATCCATTTTTCATCCTTTACTTTCCCACAAACGACGTATAATGAATAAATTGATATATGTATACTTTGCGACATTAAATATATAAGGACGCTCATAAATTACCCAACGCGACAACGTTTCAGCAATCGAGATCTACCATATGCGACATTGTTGACGTGAAAAAAACGTCAAATAGACGGATATATGATGTTTTGTATTTTCCAAAAGATCGTAGCGTGGGCGATTGTTTTAAGAACAACTCACGGTGGGGGTAGACCTGAATTACGCGACCTGGGATGCTTTGTTTTCGGTTTCAAAGTCATCTCTTGTCTTGCGCACTTGAGATACGACATTTTCCCTTCTAGTTTGCCTTTTGTTTTCAACTGTCATCTCTGTTGACAGGAATACGCGAAAAAAGAAATATTCGAGAAAGTAAGGGGACCCCCTGCACATCAAAATTTAAGTTATGGGTAGGGAAGGGTGGCAGTTTCCGCTATAAAGAAGTCGCTTTGAACGACTAACGCCCGTCGTAAGTAGGCTTCGTGGGACAGGTATGAAAACAAAGAGTAAAGAGTTTGCAAATACAGCTTCAAGATAGATTTCGAAACGAAAAAGGATTTTGAAAAATCCTTTCATTTTTATTTTTTCTTTCTTTCTCAACTACGTATATTTTAGTTCTCTTTCTAGTTTTGCCCGAATTGTTAGTCGAAAAATAATAATTAGGAAAAATCAAATCTTTTTTTCTCCGACTATGTTTTTATTAACTCGCTTTTTCTATCTGTAGCTAGAGCTTTTTAAACCCCTGCCACAGTGCTGTACCTGATAATAATGCTAGTTTAAATTGTTTCTCGGCTCCTACAAGCAAAATTTATCATTTTATTTATTTATTTTGTCCCAAAGCGAACTTATCGCAAGGACACGGTTCCCAGTTGAACATCGAAGTCAAGCATCATTGGCTGCGGGCTGTGAGCGGGTCTGTGTTCATTTTGAGCTACCTGCGTAGAAACCGAGGGTGCACTGCGTAGGTCCTCGTTAGTCTGTTCTACCGTCAAGTACTACCAAACAACCAAAGCGGGTAAGCTACCCTCTCTGCAGGGAAAAAAAATTGCGATGGCTTACCTTTGGATCATTCCCAGGAATGTTTTCCAGACGGACACCAATAGCTAATTCTTTAGCTCTAGTGTGACTTAAGTAAAATATCTAGTTACACTTTTTTATTTTATTTATTTATTTATCGTCAAGCGAAATTATGAAAATTTTCAACTTACCAGGTTTCTAAGCACTGCGTCTCATGATTATTCAAATTTTAATCTTTTCCCAACTACTACAAGCAGAATCAATATCGCCATTTTATAGCTAAATACAGAAAAATAACCTTTTTTTTCCAGAATTTCTCCGTATATTTAACGGTTTAAGACCGTTTTATTGACAATACAATTTTTCTCCGTTTCTCACAAAAATCACAAACTGCTTGAAATCGTCAGTTGAAATTTTAGTTTTTGGCATGCAGTTTTGCGTTCCGTAATATAACTTTTAACTCTTATTTTTTTATGCTTGTTCTAACCTTTCAGCAATTACTTGATGATTTTGAACACCGAATGAATAAAACTGCTATCCGACTTTATTGTTAATTTGCACAATATTGAAGCGAAATTCTCAGTATCACAATGTCTTCATAATGAGAGTCAGTGTGACGATGACGTCGTAATGAGAGCCATAGATACCCGTTCATGGGGTGGGCTACATTCACACATCACACCCAGAGAGAAAGTTCCATGCCCTGAGCGGGATTCGAACGCGCAGCCAGTGACTTCAAAGTCAACTCCACAGTTAATAAAACAGCATAGCTAAAAAAAAAAAAAAAAAAAAAAAAAAAAAAAACCCAAAAAAAAAAAAAAAAAAAAAAAAAAAAAGAAAAACGTGTTCCTTTATAGTAAAAGTCTGCTGAGACAACAGATTTATTTTTGTTTTAAAAACTTGTTTTGTTCCGGTAATAAACCAGTCTATAAAAGTTACTATTGCTTCCTAAAAGCTGCAGAAAAGACTCTATTTTTATTTTATAGTGAATCATAATTTTTTTTACTGTTTTTTCCAAGTGATCAAACTAACAAAAACACAACCAAAGAGCAGATTTTTTTAAAAACTTTTTTTCTCATTTTTATTTTATTTATTTATTTTTTATCACCATTACGCAGGAAAGCAATGTGAATGAGAATAAAACTGACGAAGTCAAAACTAAAGTGCAGATTTTTATTTTTCTTATTTTGTTTTATTCTATTTATTTATTTTTTACTTTTTTATTTTTTTATCAAGATAACGCATGATGAAAGTGTGGCTCTAACCATTTAACCTCACATGTGGCAGTTTTCGCACCCGAACCCGATCTATAACAAACTTTAACATGCTCTATTTTTGTTCGAGCTTTTGATGCCACGATGACGCCAAATCCATAATTAGCGACATTGATAATTTTCAAAAGAAAATACAAACAGTTTCCTTTCTTTCTCGGTGTATGAGAGATTTCTAGAAGCATTATAAGCTTTTCGAATTGGGTAAAACTAAAATTTCCCCAGCGGAATGCTAACTTTCTTAGATTCTGAAACTCTCGCCTTTTTACAAAAAGACAGAGATTAAAAAAAAGTTAAAATATTAATGACTACATAGTTTAGAAAATATAAGAATTCAGGGGGTCACGTTACCTAGCAGCGAAACAAGAGCCCTCATTCGACCAATATTCACGAGTCTTGGCTCAATAAGGGTTCAACGGGCCGTTATTTTCCAATATTGGCCCTATATAGAATTGTCCGATTCACCTGATATCTTACAGCCACTTTACAACCAATATCTGCCCTATATAGAGAGAATTGTCAAATTCACCCGATATTTTGCAACCACTTTACAATCAGTATCAATCCTATTCAGAATTGTCCGATTCACCTGATGTATTACAGCTTCTTTACAACCAATATCGGCTTTATATAGGGGGAATTGTCAGATTCACCCGATATTTTGCAACCACTTTACACTTTACAATCAGTATCGATCCTCCAAATTATTACAAATGCAAATGAGTATCGTTCTAAACTTTTAGTACGCAATTGTAATGTTTAGAAAAAAGGAGGAAAAAAAAACAAGCGGAGATTTATATATATATATATANAGATTTCAAATTATCCTTGTTTTAATTAAAATAAGCCAATTGTATTTATGTTGATATATATATATATATATACTATGCATAAAATAGAGAAGAAGCGCAAGTTGAATGCTTATGTAAAGTTAACCATAAAGCAACATGATTCTACGTTTAAAAAATACTATGGTCAAAGCTATCAGAATATCGTCAAATTTACCGTGTCTCTGTCTCTCTGAGCACCAAAAAGTTCGGTAATTTTTATGATAAAATTAACAAGATAATTCGATAATATGTCATAAAATTTGGTAAATGTGGTAAAATTTAGGAATTTTATCATGATTCCTTTGAACATGGTATAAAATCCATTTCTTCAGTTAAATTTACTTTTAAAATTTCGTAATTTCTTACTAAAGGGGTGATAAGAAGAACTATAATTTTGAAAATCAGAATTTCCGACAAACCATTATTAAATGAATGGTTTAAGCACCATATATTTTGATTTTTAACACCAGAATTATGGCTTTTTGTTTAGCAGAAATGTCATTACTATACAATGCGGAAATTTTACACGAAATGTTTTTAACAGATTTACAAGAAATTACTAAAATTATTGTCTCGTGGAGTTACTGTAGATGTATATGGTCCTAAAATTTCTTAGTGCACAAACGTAATGTTTTTAAGAGATTTTTCTTCTATTTGTTCATGGTCATTTGCATACGTCACAACTGCGGTTTATTTTATCTACAACAAGGCATCTACCCCTTCTTTTACTCCGCAGTAAAATGATTTGTGAAGAACAATTTTAGTTTGGGAAGAAATTTTTCTCGACGGCTGTCACATCTTCTTCTTCTGAACCTCTTAAAACACTGAATTATTAGAAGTAGCGCTGTCTAAATTTAGCGGCTTCGAAATAATTTTAGACAGTGTTCTTCCCGAAATAGCATCGTGTAGTCATTGTTGGAACACCCCTTTAGACCCAGAAATGATTTCGATAACTAAAAATAAACACCCCCGAAGATGTGAATGAGCTGGTGGATGAAGCCCGCGGGGGGACATTTTTGCGGTTTATTCTAATGCTATTTCTTTTTTTGTTGATATTTTTGACACTCCAAACACCGTTTCGCATTTGTGAAAGAGAGGAAGACTTTGACGGATCTGTTTCAGGTAAATATGTATATACGTTTGCATTTACTGCTTTTTGGCCCATGGCTTCATTGCAGACTGTACTAATCCTTTCTTTACGCATCGGGGGAAAAAATGTTCGAAATGTCACCCTACTCCCAAACAGAACAAATGAAACAAATCACGCTAAAATAGTTTTGAAAACGAATTTTACCCCTCTTTATGAAGTAATTAATAGTTGTTTCAAAGCAGTGTATCATGAACATTAGCCTATTGACAAGAGTTTCTCGAAAAATTACAATATTTCTTTCTTTTTTTTCTTCTTTTTTTTGAACAGCCGAACCAATTTTTAGATTACGACTATTAATGTTCAAGTCTGCTGCCTTATAATTTTGCACTCAACCCTGAAGACAAGGGAACTCGTAGATTAAACATTGGGTCAAACTAGCCCTTGTGGAGGACTTTTTTTTTAAAAAAAACTCGCATTTGCTTTACATGGAGAAGAAAACACGAAAACCTCCCATGCTCAGCCTGGTCCGTATTGTCGATAAGGAGACTCTAACCCATGATCAGTATACCACTGAGGATATTTTACGTCAGCACTGTGATTGGTGCGAGCCAGGAGCAGAATTAATATAAACCAGCCAACTCTGAAATTCGAACCTGAGGCACCTCATCCCGTAAGCCACTGTGGCTCACAAGCAACAGCATATATTTTTTTATGTTGCTTAATAATATTTAAAGTCTTTATTTTTCAAATTAATTTTAATTAAAAAATAATTTACTGCGCGAAGTGCTACTATTTTGCATACCGCCGGATTAAAACCACTTATCTTATACAAATAAATGCACCAAAGTAATAGGTTGCTAGTTTAGGCACCATTATTTGCACGCAAATAATTATTGGCCAAACAGTTTTAACTTCATAGGATCCTATAGCTTGACTGCTTATATTAATT